TCCAATTCTCTCCCTCTCCCACCCCCTAGTGACCATCATTATACTCTGCTTCTATGTGAATCTTCTGACATTTTAATTTTTTTCTTTTTTTTACAATGTGCTGGTTTTATATACAATTTGAAATATTTTCATCAAACTGGTTAACATAGCCTTCACTGCATTTTCTTAGTTATTATGTTAAGACATTTATCTTCTAAGCTTAGTAAATTTAACATGTACTCTTGTAAGATGCACCATAGGTGTGGTCCCACCAATTACCCTCCCTCTGCCCATCTTACCTTCCCCCTCCCTCTCCACTTTCCCCATATTCTTGGACTATAATTGGGTTATAGCTTTCATATGAAAGCTATAATTTGGTTGCATAGTAGGGCTGAGTACATTGGATACTTTTTCTTTCATTCTTAAGATACTTTGCTAAGAAGAATAGGTTGCAGCTTCATCCATGTAAACATAAAAGAGGTAAGGTCTCCATCTTTCTTTAAGCCTGCATAATATTCCATGGTGTACATATACCATAATTTATTAATCCATCCATGGGTTGATGGGCACTTGGGCTTCTTCCATGACTTAGCAATTATGAATTGGGCTGCAATAAACATTCTGGTACATATATCTTTGTTATAATGTGATTTTTGGTCTTCTGGATATATACCCTGCAGAGGAATTGTAGGATCGAATGGCAGATCTGTTTTTAGATCCCTAAGTGATCTCCAAACGTCTTTCCAAAAGGAACATATTAGTTTGCATTCTCACCAGCAGTGTAGAAGCATTCCTTTTTCTCCACATCCACGCCAACATCTCTGGTTTTGGGATTTTGTGATGTGGACTAATTTTACTGGAGTTAGATGATATCTCCAAGAAGTTTTGATTTGCATTTCTCTGATTATTAAGGATGATGAGCATTTTTTCATGTCTGTAGGCCATGTGCCTGTCTTCATCAGAGAGATTTCTCTTCAAGTCCCTTGCCCACCCTGAGATGGGATCACTTGTTCTTTTCTTGCTAATACGTTTGAGTTCTCTGTGGATTCTGGTTATTAAACCTTTGTCAGAGACGTAACCTGCAAATATCTTCTCCCATTCTGAGGGCTGTCTGCTTACTTTACTTACTGTGTTCTTGGCTGTGCAGAAGCTTTTTAGTTTGATTGGGTCCAAGTAATGTATTTTTGGTGTTGCTTCAATTGCCCAGGGGGTCCTCCCCATAAAATATTAACCCAAGCTGATTTCTTCAAGTGTTTTCCCTGCACTTTCTTCTAGTATTTTCATGTCTTAAGTTTAAATCTTTAATACAGTGAGAGTTTATCTTAGTTAATGGTGAAAGGTGTGGGTCCAGTTTCAGTCTTCTTCAGGTTGCCAGCCAGTTCACCCAGCACCATTTTCTATTATTTTGTTTGAAGTTCTCCTTTATTCTGGCCGTTCTATTTTGCTGGGTGTCAGTTATGTTGCATTGTTATTTTTTCAGCTCCTGTGGCTTCTCACATATTGTCATGTTTCTTTGAGGGCTCAGATCTGGGGTTTTAGAACTCCAAGCACTGGTAGTTTTGTGGGAGCCTAACTAATTAACTCAAGTCAAACTACCTCCTTTTGTTGTTTGCTCAGAACAACAGGCCGCCACATACCAAGGACCTTATCATACCTAGGTGTTAGGCAAGCCCCCTTGTGCACTCAGCCCACATCCTGACCCCCTTCCCTTTTTGCACTCGCCACTCTACTCTTCACACGCCCCACTTGCGACCTTTATCCCTTCCTTCTCATTCGCTCACCTGAGACAAAGAAGACTTGTCCCTGAGCCAATCAACCCTGAACACGACCACCCTGTACCTGTCAGTTTAGGACAGACATGGTTTACCTACCAATAAGGGGATGGGGTGGGATGGACTAATGGGAGGGAAGAAGGAGGGGTATAAAGGGACTTTCTGAATAGTCTGTAAGGGCTGTTCCCACTTTTTCTTAAAGGGCAGCCCAGGCTCCGAGCTTGAATGAATAAAATTCCTTGTGCCTTTGCAGCAATGTTCGGACTCTCAGAGTGATGCTTGAATTGAGTCTGTGGGTTAACAGTTTCTCCTGCAATAGAGGGAGATGGTTCTTCATCCTAGTGCGCCCATATCTGCATCACACAGGTGTGTATGCATGAAGCAGGTGTATAGAGGTGACTCTCTGCTTACTGACCTCCTTGCTGACTTAGGAGTTGGGGGTCCAGAGGGAACACACACACACACATATACACACACAAATGGGAGTGATGCTCACTTTACTCTAGGAGGTCCACGAACCCCTGTAAGCCACAGTTTTCCTAGGCTGGATTGTGTCTGATATTAACCCCAGAACACTCCGTGACTTGTCTTGAGACTCTCCACCTGGTGTATGGGGGAGATATTTCAACCCTATATTTCCCTTTGATGTCCCCTTCAGAGACATCAAACTTAAAAAACTTTATTCAAATTAATATGAGAGTACAATTTTGAGGTTACATTGTTCTCACTTTCAGGGCAAAGTTCCATTTGTAGAAGAGCCCCTTACTCAGGGGGCATGTTACACACCCTCACAGTGTGCACATTAGGTGAGATCCCACCTCATGCCCTCCCTCCTTCTGCCATATGTCCTCCTCCCTCCCCCCTCACTTCCCTCAACCCCCAAATGGGACTATAATATTGTTGTATTGTTCTTATGAACATGTAATTGTTTATATATTGATTTCATATTAGTATGAAGTATATTGGGTATTTATTTTTACATCCTTGTGATACTTTATTAAGAAGAATGTATTTCAATTCTATCCAGGTAAATGTAAAAGATGTAAAGTCTCCATCTTTTTTAATGGCTGAATAATATTCCACAGTATACCACAGTTTGTTGATCCATTCATGGGTTGAAGGGCACTTAGGTTGCTTCCATGGCTTGGCAATTATGGACTGACCTGCAGTAAACATTCTAGTGCAAATGTCTTTGTGGTAAAATGATTTTTCTTCTGGGTAGACACCTAGTAATGGGATTGCAGGATCAAGTGTAAGATCTACTTTTAGATCTTTGAGGATTCTCCACACTTCTCTCCAAAAAGGCTATATTAGTTTGCAACACTTGTAGCAGTGTAGAAGTGTTCCCTTCTGTCCACATCCATGCCAGCATCTGGTGTTTTGGGACTTTGTTATGCAGGCTTGTCTTGTTGGGGTTAGGTGATATCTTAGAGTGGTTTTGAGTTGCATTTCTCTGATGATTCTTTAATCAGAAACGATGAGCATGTTTTCATGTGTTTGTTGGCCATTTGTCTGTCATCCTTGGAGAAATTTCTGTTCAAATATCTTTTCCATTTATAGAGAGGATTGTTTGTACTTTTCTTATTATTTAATTTGAGTTTTCTGTAGATTCTAGTTATCAGGCCTTTGTCAGATTCATAACAGACAAAAATCTTCTCCCATTCTGAGGGCTGTGTGTTTACTCTGTTTGTGGCACACGGCCATCAAACTTACTCCCACTCAGCTGCCGTAAGTCCCAGCAGACTTTTCGTTCAGAGAGGCATATATAGTAGGGTAGTGAGTGGAGGGAGATCAAGACATATTCAGGCAACCATCTTCTTAGAATCTCCCATTTCTCTTTCTTTAGCCCAGGGGCCAGCAAACTACAGCCTTGGTGTATGTGTGTGGGTAAATTCTGTCTACACCCATATTTTTTATAGCCAGTGAGCTAGAAATGGTTTTTACCTTTCTAAAGGGGTATACACACATATCCTTCTCTCTCTATATATGTGATATATATGACATATATAGCATATCTATCTATCTATCCTATCTATCTATCTATCTATCTATCTATCTAT